GATGGACAGCCAAATGTTAATCGCTACAGTATTATTACTAGCTTTTCTTTAGTTTATATTTATTTATATTAAGTGCCAGTAAATTCCTCAGTGCTATACAATGCTGGATTAACAAAATAAATATGCAATCGATAAGGAACAAGTTCAGGCATTTGATGCTTAAGCCTTTTGCCATGCCTCTTCTCCAACATTGGCAAAGAGGAATCTGGAATTAAAACCAGATAGGATATTACAAGCCAATATTAATATTATTCTTATTAATAAGGATTGACAGAAGGATGCACAGAGGGTAAGCAAGATTAGCTTGGCTTCAGCAGTCTGTATAGAGTGTATGGTGTAGGTTTCATTGTAACTGGTGAAGGATCCATTGCAGAAGTCAAGAAGTAAATTGTGTGAGCAGTTTTGGAGATTGAATTGGATGAGAAGTGAATGAGGGAATTGAGCCATTAAGGAGTACAAGATAGTGAGCTTGAGTAACTGGGTTGATGGCTGTATTACTGACCTTAAGGAAACTGAAGAATGGATTACTGGGAGGAAAAGGGGATTTCAGATTAAAAAAAAAAAAATCTAGTTTCAAAGCAGGCAGATATCTAGTTGGGTAAAAATAAGGGACTTTTTGGACCCAGTAAAATTTCTGATTGGAAAATCTCTGTGTCAAGAGCAACAGAAAGAGTAATAATGCAGAAAAAAACATTACTGTTAAGGAAACCTAGATGTGGGGAGCAGTATATGATTGAAAAGCTGTCCTTACAAGCTATACTTTGGGAATAAAGTTTGCAGATTTGTCTAGTGAGAAGAATTTTTTTATTGCTTGTGTTTTGGGATTTAAATGTATTATGGATCCTAATTTACTTAACCATTTGTGGTAACATGTGTCAAACTATACTATTTTTTTGTTTTTCTTAAAGGTTTGCTTCTTGTGAGATATATATATACAGCATATTTACATTTTTTTTTTGTAGTCTTCTAAAATTTATTATGGGCATTCCATTTGACTTAGACTAATAAATGTGCTATTAAAGAATGCTTGTTAAATTATGAGTATTTAGGTGGTTTAAATTTTATGACCTCAGGTTTTTACGTGTTCATGTTATGATATTCTTATCCATTTATATGGAATAATAAAACCAACCTTGCATTTTACTCATGTGATGTACAACAGAAACGCCTCTACTAATTAATTAATTAGATACTACTTCCACAACTACTTTGCACCTTAGAGATTGACCTTAAGCCGGATGTTTCGTAGAATTAGCGAGTAACAATTGTTTGAAAAAAGGCCTTATTTAGCAAATTTGCCAGGGACCTTGATTGTATGTAGCTGCTGGTGTTAAATTGTGTTAGAGGAATTCTAGTTTTAGACTATTCTCTTTTGTTTGCATGTACAAAGTAAGCGTTGCTTAAAGGACCACTATAGTGCCAGGAAAACATACTCGTTTTCCTGGCACTATAGTGCTCTGAGGGTGCCCCCACCCTCAGGGTCCCCCTCCCGCCCGGCTCTGGAAAGGGGAAAAGGGGTTAAACTTACCTTTTTCCAGCGCTGGGCGGGGAGCTGCTCTCCTCCGATCCTCCTCTTCTCCTCCCCGTCTGCTGAATGCGCACGCGCTGCAAGAGCTGCGCGTGCATTCAGCCGGTCACATAGGAAAGCATTCATAATGCTTTCCTATGGACGCTGGCGTGCTCTCACTGTGAAAATCACAGTGAGAAGCACGCAAGCGCCTCTAGTGGCTGTCAATGAGACAGCCACTAGAGGAAATAGGGGAAGGCTTAACCTATTCATAAACATAGCAGTTTCTCTGAAACTGCTATGTTTATGAAAAAATGGGTTAACCCTAGCTGGACCTGGCACCCAGACCACTTCATTAAGCTGAAGTGGTCTGGGTGCCTAGAGTGGTCCTTTAAGTTTAATTCCAGTTCTTGGGTGCAATAGGATGCAAACCGCTCATGTTAAAATTGAACTATGTGTAATGTGACAAAGAAAATGTCTCTCTCTCTCTGACTGTTAATGAACAATAATAAAAACTATTGGTTAAACGTTGACGTAATCGGCTTAAATATTAAAGCATTCTAAATTGTTAATTTTTAGAGTCTTTTTTTTTTTTTCTGCAATTTTTGGCAGGTATGTTGATCAACTTCTGAACGCTAAACTCTTTTTATATTACGTTTTTAAGGTTTGCCTCGCACTTGCACATTACTCTCAGCCAACAGATCTTCAGCTGCTGTTTGCATTTGAATATGTGGCAAAATCCTACCACAATCCAGGTAAGGATATGCTTGGTTATTGATTAATTTTAGAGGTATTATTTTGGTAAAGTCAATGTAAGTAACATTAACTAAAATGTTTCATATGACTTAAAGCATTTTACTTTGATTGTTGAGCAGTATAATTTTCTGTTCATTTTTACAAAAGAAGTTACTCTGCTTCTCTCCTAGTTTAAAAAAAAGTGTGTGTTTTTTAGCATATGCAAGTATTATGCATTTTCATCAAGTTAATATTTAACCTCCCCCCCAACCTGGCAACACTGCCAGACAAGACAACATTAAAGGGACACTGTAGGCACCCAGACCACTTCAGCTTAACCCTGCAGTGGTAATTATTGCTCTGCATGAGGACGTTCAGCATCCGATTTTTATTTTTATTTTATTTTTTTTTATTTTTGTTTCCATAGAAAGCATTAAATAATGCTTTCCTGGGGACGGGGCCTGACCAGCATGGAAGACAGACATGCTACTGCAGAGCTCCTCCGACAACAGGGAAGTTAATTTTATTTCTGGCCCTAAATAACCCGAAACTGGCATCCCAAATAGACCTACCTGACACACGAAGGGACACAAAACTGGCACTGAGGTCTGCGACCCATCTGAGGCCGGCCGACTGACTTGTGAGTACTCGTCGAGCAGGAGATCTGCCGGCCTGGTACTCGTCGAGCAGGAGAGACGGCAGATCTCCCGTCCGGCGCCATGGTATGCAGACACATCGCAAGCTGGAGCCCCTACTCTACCCTCCACCTCCACGGACCGTCGGGGGTGATCGCAGTCCATACCAGGGAAACCATCCTGGATCGGAGAGAGTGCAGTGGGGAACAGCGCTGAAATGCATGCAACACGGCCGGCAGCCAACATGGGTACGCCACGTGTCTCCCCGAGCCTACAGACCCACAACATGAGGTCCTACAGAGGCTGGATGCAATCTTCGCCAATTTCTGGTCTTCGCCAATGAGGTCAGAACACAACCACTTGTCTCACCACAGTTACGCAGCCTCCCTGCCAAGAAACTGCATCCAACCCGAAGGAAGGCTCAGCAGGTCATAATTGCAAGACAGACCTCACTAACGCGGCAGACCAAGCTACACCTTCGACTCCAGCATAAGAGGGCGATAATAGGTACGAGACCTCATCGAAGACACAGGGCACAACGGAGAGTTAAGACCCGACATGCCCACTCACCCGGCCTGGCGATGCCTAGGTCCAGAGGACTATGAAACCCAACCCCAAGATGGATCCGGGCCCGACAAGCAAACCGGTCCCTTCTACCGACACTTGGGCACAGAATCCCGCACCGCCTCGCTGTGATGCAGAAAAGCAGGATACCTAAGGCGGACAATGGCAAAATGAGACGACAGCCTGGACAACCACCAGGGTCATTTTACCATCCAACAGCACCCTCCTGGCTCTTCCCGAACTTGGGAATCGGCTGACTGGCGACTATGATAGGGACAGGCCCACTGCAGAATGTCTGAGCCTCTTAAATTTCAGACAATCACCAGCAAACCTGATTTAAAACTGACCCTCTTTTATGTGACCTGTTATGTTTTTTTATGTTCTCTATATTGTGTGTTCTCATGTCCCTTAGCTTTCATATGCGGGGAGGCGCTTTTAGCTTGGGTCACAACTATACTAGCGAAGACCTAGACTGTTATGCATGTCAGATAATATAGATTGTGTAGTTAACACACTTATAGTGTCTCATACATGTTGAAACCGCTTTCTTCTGGAATGTAACCACGGAAGCTTCACATGGTCACTTACCCACATGCAGGAATTAGACTCTAAGCAAGACAATAATGGCATGTTGTTTTAAACAGAGGTGAGCTTAGCTAGCCTGCTTACTTTAATCTGCTATTATTTTTGTAAACATGTGTGGCCTCCTGGGAATCCAGGCAAACGTACTTTCAGGCTTGCTGCCTGCTATTTAGAGCTCAACCCTCTTCCTGCCGCCTCTGAGTCCTGCATACTGCACTCTACCAGCCACCAACCTAAGACCTCCCTGGGTCCATACTCTGGTCCATACTCATGTCTCCAATCGTTGGGACTAGTCCTACTGCGTGTACACTATAAACCATTGCGACAGATTTACTAGAAACGCTCAACTCACCCAATCTGCGCAGTATCCTCGACACACATGCTACATCTTTATGATAATGTACAGCGCTACGGAATTTGGCGCTGTATAAATAATAATAATAACTCTACACAATACTGCCAGGTGCAACCACAATGTCAACCGCACACTCAGCTATGCCTCATGCAGTATGATTTAGTTCGTCTATACACTGTAGTACTAAGCTTACCGTTAGCATTACTATGTCTTTGACCTTCCAAACCAAAGTTATACTTGTTCTAACTTACTGTTACTAAGCAGGTCTTGAGATCTATTTGTTCAAACTATTCATAAATATAAAAATGTGCAAGTTTCATCATGTACCTTTTTATGTTACAATTGACTATCATGCGTTGAAGGATTGCTGTTGGGGTACCTTCACATGCGACTGCTATATGAACATGCACTGCAAAAAAAAAAATAATGCTTTCCTATGGTGAGATCCTAATACCGCACACGTGCATTAGGTCACCCCCGGCTGGTGGATGTCGGCGGGGGAGGAGCGTGGGCGGAGCTGAGCCAGCGCCGAGGGACATCGGCGCTAGACACAGGTAAGTGACTGAAGGGGTTATTAACTCCTTCAGCTCTGCAGAAGGGGGCCTTGACAGAGGGGGAAGCTATAGTGCCAGGAAAACAAGTTTATTTTCCTGACACTATAGTTTCCCTTTAAAGGACCACTATAGTGCCAGGAAAACATACTCGTTTTCCTGGCACTATAGTGCCCTGAGGGTGCCCCCACCCTCAGGGACCCCCTCCCGCCCGGCTCTGGAAAGGGGAAAGGGGTTAAAACGTACCTTTTTCCAGCGCTGGGCGGGGAGCTCTCCTCTTCCGATTCTCCTCCTCTCCGCCCATTTGGCTGAATGCGCACGCGTGGCAAGAGCTGCGCGCGCATTCAGCCGGTCCCATAGGAAAGCATTTGCACTGCTTTCCTATGGACGCTTGCGTGCTCTCACTGTTATTTTCACAGTGAGAATCACGCAAGCGCCTCTAGCGGCTGTCAATGAGACAGCCGCTAGAGGCTTTGGAGGAAGGCTTAACCCATATATAAACATAGCAGTTTCAAATGGGTTAACCCTAGCTGGACCTGGCACCCAGACCACTTCATTAAGCTGAAGTGGTCTGGGTGCCTAGAGTGGTCCTTTAACACTTGTGTCATTGGTATGAAAGTACTTCCACACTATGCACACAAGTCCATGAAATTAGGTAGTCCTGGTTGTTAAGTCCTATTGAAAAGAACAGATACACCGCTTGTATGGTGCAGTATGTGCAAGGAGAATTATTGTTATATTGTAGCCCAGGAGTCAGCAACCTATGGCAAGTGTGCCATGCATGACACTCAAAGTGCCTTCGCCCAGCACTTAAGGCTGCCAGAACCAAACAGGCTCTGGCTTATCAGGAGTCCCAGTGGGATTTCAGATATCTGCTACCTAACAGTGATTGCAGGTAGTGAAGGACAATCCTCAATTAATGCATTGCAGCACTTAGAGGAAGTGATCACTTCCTCCTCGTACTTGTGAATGGGAATCAGCACTGGTGTAGAGCAGTCCATTTAAACATGGCCAGCCCGTTCACCACTGGGCCCCAGGGAAGCCACCCACACTACACAGAGCTGCAGGAAAAAAAGATCTACACAGAGCTGCAGAAAAAAAAATGCACACACACACGCGCCAAGGACCATCAAGATCTTGAACACAGTACTACTAAGTGGTTGCCTACCCCTGTTGTAGTTCATGCATGTGTTTTTTATTTATTTTTTGTAAGAATTCAGGTTAGAGGAAATAAGTTTTAATTTTTATTTATATTGCCCTCAACCTGAAGTAGACTGCATCAAATGAAAATCCCTCCCTCTCTCCCCCATTGCCCCCCCACCCCCCCAAAAAAAAATTGCCAGCTGACAAGTTAGGACATTAATGTAGCTTTGTGTAAACCAAAATTCTAGTCTCTAGAGTGGTTACAGCATGCCCCATTGTTCTTCTGTTTGGCCCATCTCTGTCAAGGCATACAGCAGCCATTCTTCGGATGTTATGTTGGCTGACTTCTTCAGCTTCTGTATAACTCATCATTAATTAGAGCTCTCCTATCTGGGAAATTAATTATCTAACCAGTTGTATTGTCAAAAGGCCTATAATTGCTTCACAGACTCCTGGCAGCGAATGTTAATTTTCAGTAACTAATATTCGTGTGTACTATAAGACTCCAGAGTTTTGATTTGCCAAAAATTAAACACTATACGAACAGCACATATTAGGGGAAAAAAAAGGGAGAAGGCGATTGTTCAAAAAAAACTGCCAAAAACCTCTACAGGTCAATAGATTTTTCTTCATGACGTGGAATTTATTATACGTTGATCCAACCAGCATTTCAAGATCTCAGCTAGTTATCCAGAATGAGTCTGTGTCTCTTAATGGAGCAGAAAACCTCATTGGAGAAGGTCACTTGATTATATAGCCTTGAGGTGTCCAACTCCGGCTAATTCGTTGGAATTTTCAGACTGCGCATTATGGGACATATATAGTCCAGCAATGGATTTAGGACTCAGATTTTTAAACTGTTCCAACCAATGAATTCCTATTGCAGTGTATGCATTATCTTCATTTTTCTGCATACACCATTCCTAACATTTTATGTTGACCAGTGTACTGTACAATTTACAAAGATGGCTGCACTTATCCCTTTTCACATTTCCAATCCGTATACCTCAGGTACTTGATACCCATTTCCTGTGACATTCCAAGCATCACAGCTACTACAACGTGTTGTCATTTGGTTGCATATCCCTACCATATGTGTCTTCCTCCCTCTTCTTCCTCACTCCACTCACTTGTCCCTGTCTGCCTCTACAATAATAAAATCCTTTATGAAACAGTTTGCCCTCTTACCTGGTCCTATCAGGCACCCGAGCCTCCAGTTATGGTGACTTCCTCAAAGCTGTAAAGCCAAATGCCCAACTCAGTTGCTCATTCATTGGCAAAGATCTTTAGCTGAGAACTTTCAGCCTATGAACGTCTCTGTGCACAGAAATATGCACATAATTGACATTGTCGGATTTGAAGTTACACCTCCGGCAGGTAGCCCAAATATCTAATGTATGTGCAAATTTTAATACTAAAAAGCTGCACACACAGACTTTAAGCACCATAAACTTTTTTTTTTTTTTTTTCAATTTGACAATTTTTATTTTTCAGGTAATGAAACTGGGGTTACAAAAATGAAAAGGGGGAGGGTAGGCATTTGCGTTACATCAATTGCATTCCAGTAGGACATTTCCATTGTTCGCAGTTGAATTTAGCAGTTGCGTGTTCCTAATGAGTATTGTCATGCTTCTATGTGATGCTTGTCTTGGCTATTGTTTCTCGCAGTTGTTTAGTTGCCTTAGGTAAGGGGGAAGGAGGTTTTGGGGGTATGGGAACAGGGTACTCTTTTCAGTTTGCCACTGGTTACCCTGTCTCATTTGGCTGGTTCTCTGTTGTTTTCTTTTGGGGTTGTACCCTCAGGAACTAATTACAATGTGGGTTCTCTTTCCGCAGTGCCCTGGGGCCCGTGTGATGATTGGTTTGTCCTCGTTAACCTCATTCATGTCTCCAAGTTAGAAGCACAAGTCCCTATGTCTCCGGTCCATCGAGTGACCGTCTCGTTATGCTCTATCCCTCTCTTATCTGTCTGTGTCTAGCTGTGTTTTGTTTTGTTTTTTTCTTATCTCTCTCTCTCCTCATGTTTCCGACCCCCTCCTCCCTCTCTTCCCTCTTGATGTATGTTTCCCACTCGTTTATAGCCTGCACCATGGGCTTTGTTGGGTGAAGCCGCTGGCAGGTCCCTGTCTCCTATATCAGGTTTAGTGATGTCTGTTGTATGAGGTTGGGTCTTTTAGGTGCCTGTGTCTGTTTCCATCCTCTGGCTATCAGGAGGTTTGCTGCTATTAATATATGAAATATTAGGCTTGCTTGTGGTTTTGTGTAAGATTCCAGCGATATAAATAGGAAGGCTTTCTCCGGACTGAGCTTAGTATCGATGAGCAATTCCCCTTGATCATCTCCTCAACTCCCCTCCAATATTCCTTGAGAGCTGAACAGGTCCACCAGATGTGGAATATCGTGCCTTCTTTTAAGCATCTCCAGCATAGCTTTGAAGTGCCGGGGTAGATGCTAGCTAGTCTTGTTGGTACCAGGTACCATCGATATTGTATCTTGCGCATGAGCTCTAAGTGGGAAGCGCATCTGGATCTGCCTTTGTGTGCAGTGAAGGCCTGGTTCCATTGCTTTTCTGAGAATATTGTACCCATGTCCCTATGCCATGCCTCTCTAAACCGCTATCTGCGGTTGTTGGCTTGAGTCGTTGAGCATTGCATAGAGGAGTGAGAGTGGTTTCTTGGGCATGGTCATGAATATACACGGTCTTTCTATGCATTTCGCGTGTGTCAATATGCCTTTTAGTTGTAAGTAAGAGAATATCATCCTTTGCGGCAGGTCATACTCTGCTTGCAGGTCTGGTAATTGTTTCAGTAGTTCTTGACTATGTAGGTGTTTAACTAGTGTGCATCATTTTTCGATCCATGTGCGGTGGTCGAAAGTGGGGTGTGCTATATGTATACTATATAGGGGAGTGGCCATCGCCCATTCAGTGGTATACCCTAGCTGTGGTTTGTCCATGTCCCAGGTTTTTAGCAGGATTTCTGTCGTGGTAGGCATCTCCGGGAGTGATGGGCGTCGCCCGTGTGGTACCCAAAAGAGGTATTTGAGGCCCCTGGGGCACTTCCAGGTCGACTCCATCTCTACACATTGTGGTTGGTTGTGTGCTGTGTATGGCTGTGGCCAGTAGCGCTGACTTATAGTACATTTGCACCCCTGGCATTCCCAACCCCCGCTGTGCTAAATTTTTGGTGAGAATCTTTGTGGCTACTCTGATTTTTTATTTTATTTTTTGTGCCAAAACGAAGCTAGTGATTTTTTTTTTTTTTGCAGCCGTCTTAATTATGTGTTTGGTAAGGGGATCTGTAGTGTTCTGAGTAGGTACTGAAATTTTGGCAGGAACTTATTCACCACCGCCAGTCTCCCCACCCAAGACATGTAGTCTTCCCATTTTTTCAATGTGTCACTTATTTCTCCCTGTAGTCTCCCATAATTGAGGTCCTAGAGACCGTGTGGCTCTTTTGGGATTCTCAGTCCCAGGAACGTGAGGTAGTCATCCCTCCAATCCAGCAGGAACGAGAGTTTTAAGTGTTCTATGTTACGTTGTGGTATCCCTATTCCCATAGCTTGGCTTTTCGTGACGTTGAGTTTGTAGTATGATTGCTCTCCGTATTTTTCTATTTCCTGCATGAGATTCGGCAGTGATCTGTGCGGTTGTGTGAGTGTAAGCAGTATGTCGTCAGCGAATAGGTTCGACTTGTATACCCTCTTTCCTATCTCCATACCTTGTATCGCAGGATTGTCCCGTATCCTAATCGCCAGCGGCTCCAACGCCAGGACATATAGCACGGGGAGCAGGGGGGACAGGGAGCAGCCCTGTCTCGTGCCATTCGTGAGCCTAAATGGCTTGGACAGAAATCCAGCATTGAGTACCCTTGCCGAGGGATCGCTGTAGAGGGCCCTCACCACCGACACAAACCCGGCGGAGATGTCAAACTTGCCTAACACTCCTTGTAGGAACCCCCAGTGTAGGCGATCAAACGCTTTTTCAGCATTGAGGGAGACAATTAGTCCCCCCGCCGCCG